ACAGTTGTTCTGTGTAAAGTGTGGTCCTGCTGCTCAGAGTGGTGTCTGATTTTAATCTTAAACTGACCACCTCTACTGCATCATCAACAGGAATGCACGTAAAGAGTGATGTGACATCAAAAGAGACCATTGTTCCATCAGTCTCCATGATGACATCCCTCGCCTTATCCACAAAGTCCATGGTGTTCTGTATGTGGTGTTCTGAGCTGCTTTGAATGTCCAGAGGACCAGATTGAACTTTTTTGAATTTTTCTACCTGGATTATTGAGCATGCATCAGGATATCAATGCAGAAATGTTTCTTAACTGAGGCACCGAGGACTCCAGCATCTTTGGCACAATGTGGGCATTTTATTTTCCAAACACCATCACCACAGCTGGTGCAGGAGAGCAGAGCGTCCGGAGAAGCTCCGAGGTCTGGTCCACTGCAGTTCATGTGTAGTCTGGAGGCACAAACTCTCAGGTCCTGATGCTGCGGTCCAGCGATGGCTTCATATGTCTGGCTGGCTGTTTTCACATCCCCATCTGACAAACAAGAAAAATTTAATTGTTATAATCTCCTCTAAACATCATTATTCTTTGGTTTTATCTGTAATTTTCAAGTTTTGAATGTTTGTGTCATTACATACTTGCTTTAAAGTGCAGTGGCCACACATTACTGCCCCATCCTTCTCCAAGGACACCCGTGGCTTTAGAGGAGATTCAGACATGGAACTGACTGATTAACCTGAAATGATACACATTACATGTTAATACAGGTCTGTTTAGTTAGTATTGACGTTCATATGTTTCACTATTGTGGACATCTGGTGTTTCGTGACTGTAAGAACAGTCACATGTTAGATACAGAGTCAGGATGTGCAATATGGTATAAAATTCATATCCTGGTGATATTGTCTATTGTGATGAGAAGGTACACAAAGCTACACACTAATTAAGTCTGTTTTTTTTTTTTTACCCGTGTTCTGTCCATTCAGCAAACATGTGATGGTATCATACATTTAGTTAATACGCATGCACGCGCACGCACATTTTTCAATAAGCCTGTGACATTCAGAAGAGCCGTATGATCATCCTACACTGCAAGATACAACAAAAAGTAAGTCAGTAAATTGTTTTGGTGCAAAGTACACATGGTATTATTGTGTATTTCACAATTTACAGTGTGCAATGCATTTCCTGAACCGTAAGTAAATCGTTTTGATGAAGCTTTGCGTGTAATATGTGCGTGACTGCAGGTGGAGCGAAAACTCTGTTTATGTGTGAACAGTGCAAGTGAAGTTAGTCCGAGCTTTGTGAATTTAAACAATACAAGGAAAATATAATCATTCCTCTGCCTTAACTGTTATCTCAGGGTGTCATACAAATGTTAAACTGCTAAGTTAGGGCAGACTGAGGCGTCGGGGTGTAATACAGCTGTTAAAAACAAAGTATATGATGATCTGACAGGTTAACTGCTAACTCAGGGTGTCATACAGCTGTTATTCAGGGAGGATTGAGGCATCAGGGTATCATACAGCGGTTATTCAGGGCGGATTGAGGCGTCAAGGTGTCATACAGCTGTTAATAACAAAGTATGGTGATCTAACAGGTTAACTGCTACGTCATGGTGTGATATGGCTAATTAAATAGAAGCGTATGGTGATTGCACAGCAGATAGATGCAGCTGTAAGTTTGCGCTACGCGTATGGCGATCTGACGATGTATGCTGGCTGAACAGAATACGGACGTAGTCGAGCGTAGTCACGTTTTTTTTTTTTTTTGTTGTTTTTTTTTCTGACAGGTCGGTCTGTCCACATTCCTACTGTATCTAACATTTGACTGGGATGTTTGATATGACATAAAATTCATATCCCGGCGATTTTTACCGGTAGTATATTGTGATGAGAAGCTACATGCTAACTATGGCCAGTTAGCTTCTCTACTACTTAGCTCTTGAAGAAAACAGACGTTCAACATTTACACTCAGTTTTCAACTAAAAAAACGTAACAGTAAATATCGCTTTTTACTTACTTCCACAGATAACTTTTAGCTTGAAGAGATGACGCCCTGCACGGCTCCGACGCTGCGGTGGAGAGGACCCGGGTAGACCGGCGGAGCTCCATCTAGCTCGCTCTGAATTTTGTCGTTGGCCAGCAAGCACAAAAACAATGCCAGCACTTCAGCATTAGACCACGGTGTTGTGTTTTTAAATCTTTAAAATAGGTCCAGCCGCTACTCCGGGTCCGAGAAATTGAAAATGGCGGATCAGTGTTTTGAAAAGTTTCTGAAAGATCCAGTGACTCCTCCCCCTGACCAATCAGTGACTGACAGTGCACTGACGTCACATCTGGACCCAACAAGTACCAGACCTGGGACCCCAGAGAAGTAGGTCCCAAAAATTGTGCGGGTTCCACCGCTGAAGGCGCTGTGGAGACACTACGCAATCGGCCCGAACTAGTTACATAGGAGCTCCAAAAGGCCCTGTGGATAAGGGGCTTAAAGCCTCAAACAACTGGTCTCCTCAGGTCCTAGATACTTCCAGACTGTTGCTAGAAGAAGAGTGGAGTGTTCTCAGAGGAAACGTGGAGTAGAACAAGTTCAAACAGACGTGTTGCTGGCAGCAGATTAAGAAGTTGTTTGATTTGTTAGTTTCAATGTCTGCATGTTCCTCTGTGAACACATTTGAGAAAATGAGATGTACAAACATTTGCATTTTGTATTTATTCTTATTTTGCTCATTGGTAAGAGTTCGTCAGAATTAGGGGGATGTACTGTTTGTCCCTGCAGGACAGAAGGACGAGATTTCAGAAGAAGAAAAGATGAAATGGCGCAGATGTTTCTGAAAACATTTCTTCCTAAACTTTTGAACTGTTCCTGTTTTGACAGAGTCACAGTGAGTTCTGTTCGACAGGTCAGCATCAGTTTAAAGAATCACCAGGTCCAGGGTGTCACCGTGAGAGGAGGGGTTGAAGGGTAGATGAAGGAAGGTGATGGACAGGAGGAGGAAGCATGTAGTAGATCAGACAGAGAGGTGAGGGGCTGAAGTAGACAAGCTGGATGAGAAGACATGAGGTGAAGGATGGATGAAACATGAATGGGATTTTTGTGGATGAAAAAGGAAAAAGCACAATAATAAAAAATATTTATGGATGGCTGAGATAATGAGCCGACAAAAGTCAAATGCCCAGAATCAAATGATGAAAAGATTTTCTTACTTGTGCACGGTACAGAGGGATTGTCCAGAGGAGTCCTGAAGTGGTTCTCCTCACATACACACACCACAGAACCTTCTTTATCTGCAACGCTGTGGGCCGGGCAGGAAAAACACTCCTGCTGCCGAGACGACATCTTGTAGGATCCCAGAGGACATGCTGAATATAAAAAACACACAAACAGTCCAAATGTTACAAGAAATGTTCAGGAAGTACACAGAAGACCTACAGGAATTGTAGACAGATGACTTACAGTAAGTATACATAGTCACATATACATATATACACAGTCATGTTGTTTACAGTAGTCACAGATGTAAACAATGATATTTACAGTAGTCACAG